ACGTAATCAAAGCATTAATAGGAAGATAAGTGTATCTAGTTCTATTTAATCACAGTAAACCGTTTTTTATCAAACCGGAAACGATCAATAAAATCTTAATAAATAAAATAATTTGATGTTTGACTTCATCAATCGACCGTTGATGTTTCCTGGTTTTATTTACCTGATGTGAAACTGGAAACTTCACAAAACAAAGTTTCTAAACATCATTGTTTAAGAGTTTTTAACTCACCTGAGTTCCAGAAAGTTCGGTTCTGTTTCAGCCGCGAGGTGTTTTCTGATGGTTTCTATGGCGACGGGGGAGGAGGAGGGGCCGTGTCCGTGACAACTAACAAACATTAACACGCGTTAGCCGCCGAGGCTAAAGAAACAAATCAACACGGAGTGAAAACTCTTCTGGAGGTTTAAGAAGTTCTGGACCGGTTAAACCCAGATTAAAACCAGAACCGGAATTAAAATAAAAAGACTCTGATAGCAGAGGCTAGCTAGCAGCGAAGCTAGTTATTCTTAGCAGCGAAGCTAGTTACAGCTAGCAGCACAGCTAGTTATTGTTAGCAGCGAAGCTAGTTACAGCTAGCAGCACAGCTAGTTATTGTTAGCAGCGAAGCTATTTATTGCTAGCAGCGAAGCTAGTTACTACTAGCACCAATACTAGTTATTGCTAGCAGCGAAGCTAGTTACAGCTAGCACCGAAGATAGTTACAGCTAGCAGCGAAGCTAGTTACAGCTAGCAGCGAAGGTAGTTATTCTTAGCAGCAAAGCTAGTTATTGTTAGCAGCGAAGCTAGTTACTACTAGCACCAAAGCTAGTTATTGTTAGCAGCGAAGCTAGTTACAGCTAGCAGCGAAGCTAGTTACAGCTAGCAGCGAAGCTAGTTACAGCTAGCAGCGAAGCTAGTTATTGTTAGCAGCGAAGCTAGTTATTGCTAGCAGCGAAGCTGGGTATTCTTAGCAGCGAAGCTAATTTTTTTTTAGCAGCTAAGCTGGTTGTTAGCAAAGCTAGTTACAGCTAGCTTACTACTGGTAGTAAACCAGTGTGTTTGGATCTACAGCTCTGTAAGCAGTCAGTTGATTTAATCGACGGAGCTGCTGTTTTCAGAAATGTAAGTTTTTACAGAATCTCAGGTTAAAGTTGAGGATTTTTACCACAGAATATTGTCGACACTGTAGAATATTTGTTGTGAATTGTTGTTTTTTTAMTCACAACTTAATACTGTATGTCAACAATTATACAACAAAACGTAGTTTGTCCTGTTTCCCAGCGTCAGTCGCTGCTGCAGGATTTTAAATCTGTTAAACCCTCAGAGAGATTACACCAAACTGCAGGAAGTGACGTCTTTTAACCTTTAAATAAAACATAAACAATAATTAATGTGCAAATAATTTAATTCTGACCTCATGTTTAATTACACCACTTAGTGATGCTTTTTGATGAAAAGTCATCTTTTACAGAAGCCAACAAGTTTAAACAAACATTTAATTTCTTTATTTATCCATCAAACATGATCCAGTGTGAAAATATCAGCTGATTCAAACTAAAACAAAKGATTTTAATGAGTTTATTGGTTTAAACAGATGAAGAGAAAATCAACCCACTGTAGTTTTTATTAAAGAACCAGACTTTATTTTATTTAAAGTAAAAAGTTTCTGAATGCATGAGTTTTAATGTAGATCTTTTTGAATCTTTCAACCACAGCCCAGCTGATAAATGTGGGTTTTATTGGGTCAGAACCAGAACCAGAAGCAGTGGTTAAACTCCGGGGCTGAAACTAGTCCTCTCACCTGGTCCCACAGTTACCTGAGCTCAGGTAACCTTCAGCTCAGGTAACCTTCAGCTCAGGCTTCAGTCCAAACATAAAAACCTTCATTTCTGTCTCAAAGTCCAAACCCGCCTGGTCCAAACGGTCCAACAGAACCGGTCAGGACAGCGCTGCCATCATGAGAGACGCTGAGGGGAAGTTAAAATCTGTTCATTAGTYTGATGAGGCCAGGCGTCTGTGCACCTGAGGACAGGACACTTCCTGTTTCCTGTCCTCTGTGTCTCAGGTGTGTCTCTGCGATCCAGGACGAGTGGACGATCAGAATCTGAGGTGCTGGCCCGGTTCAAAGGTCACTGCGGCGTTTCCTCCACACCGACCTCCACACCGTGCTGCTGCAGCTTGGCATGAAGCAGAGCGTTCTCGTTCTTCAGCTCCTCCATCTGACGAGACAGGAAGCAGAGGTGGAGTTTACCCAGTGACTGGCCTGGGATTACCTGGAATTACGTGGAATCACCTGGGATCACCTGGGATTACCTGGAATTACCTGGGATCACCTGGGATAAACTAAACTGAACTTAGCTAACTAAACCAATTAACCTTTTCCATGAACACAAAAATAGCTAAAGAAATAGCAGCTGAACGCTAACCCTAACCTTTCAAGTCAAACAAGCAGAACCAAGAGTAACAGGAACTAACTTATAGCTCAAAGTACAGAATGAAAGTAGCTAACTGTAGAATAAAAGTTTCTAAATGTAGAGTAAAAGTAGCAAACTGTAGGCTAAATGTAGAATAAACGTAGCTAACTGTAGGCTAAATGTAGCTAAATGTAGAATAAACATAGGTAACTGTAGGCTAAATGTAGCTAAATGTAGGCTAAATGTAGAATAAAAGTAGCTAACCGTAGGCTAAATGAAGCTAAATGTAGAATAAAAGTAGCTAACCGTAGGCTAAATAAAGCTAAATGTAGAATAAACGTAACTAACCATAGGCTAAATGAAGCTAAATGTAGAATAAAAGTAGCTAACTAGGCTAAAAGTTGCTAAATGTAGAATCAAAGTAGCTAACTAGGCTAAAAGTTGCTAAATGTAGAATCAAAGTAGCTAACTGTAGGCTAAATGTAGCTAAATGTAGAATAAAAGTAGCTAACTGTAGGCTAAATG